GGTTGGGCTGTTCCAGCAAAGGTTCAACTTCTCAGTGGCTCCAACAAGGCCGTTTTGTTTCTGACGTAACTGTCCAAAGCCAAGAAAGCCAGATGAGGATGGGGCTGAGGATATGCTATGATCTGTCTGTGTCCCCGAAGTTCGTATGTTGGACAGATCTCCCCTGTATAACAACACTGAGATGGGGCCTTTGAGGGGTGATGAGGTCAGAGTCTTCCCTTGGGAGTGGATGAATGCTGCATTCATGAAAGTAGGCTGGTTGTCTTGAGAGTGGGTTTCCATTTGAGTGAGTTCACCTTTCTCTTGCACTAAAGCATGTTTCCTTGCCCTTCTGCCTTCGGCTATGAAGTCCCTGACGGCTGAAGGTTCTTGATCTTGGATTTCTTCAGCCTCCAGATCCATGAGAAATAAATTTCATTGTAAATGACCCAGTCTAGGATATCCTGTCAGGGCAACACAAAACAGATACAGATAAGTTGATCTAGAAGAGGGTAGAGGAGGTCATTTTCAGCCTATGTCTTCCACCATGGTGATCTAATGGTTGCCCCAGTGCTGACATCATATAAACCCCATTAGGAGCCTAAGGGATGTTTCCCCCTTCCAAGGGCACCCTTATGAAGTTGCATGTGATAATGCTGCTGAAATCTCATTGGCCGGATTTAGTCACACGGTCACACAATCTGCAAAGGAAGCTGGGAAATGTAATTGTGGGGTCTTACTGATAGAGGAAGAAAGAGAGAAGAGAATCCATGGGTTTGCCTACCCCACGGGAAGAAAACATTCACACCTTCTGAAGAACAGTGAGTCAGTTCCAGCTAGACACCAGTTCTCTGAGGCACGGGTATCCCACTACCAGGTGGCCCTGTTCTGATGCCCCATAGCCCATCATCAGGCAGAGACCTGTCCTTCATACTACCCACTAATGACAGTGGAAGAGAAGCAGGATAAATATAATTAAAACATTCCAGAATAGGAAAGGATGACCACCATGCAGAGGCCACTGGATATTAACAACCCCTAAGTCCAGACTCTCCGGGACCTCAGCTTCCCAAACAGATGCCTTTGCCCATGAGAAGCTGGTCCTTACCCGGTACCCACTGCAGCTGTGTGAGGGTGGCATGCCTGCCTCATAGACATTCCAGTTTTCCCAGATGTCTTCCAGCTGTTGGAGACGTGTAGGGTGGATAATAACCAGAGAGGAGGGTCAAGTGAGGCCTTAATGGTCAGGTTTATTTGCCAATTTGACATCCTCAAAAGTCTTAGGAGGCTGTTTGGCCCCCAGTTTGAGTTCTCTAGACTTGGAGTTCTTGCCTGTTCTCTCTCAAACTGGTATGGCTCCCTGGAAGAATGTGAGCAAACTTGTTTGGCTCTAAAAGGAATTCGCCTTTCCTTTGCACATTTGTTTGTGGGGTTTTTTTGTTTGTTGGTTGGTTGGGTTTTTTGTTGTTGTTGTTGTTTTGTTTTTTTGGTGTTTTGGTTTAGTTTGGTTTGGTTTTTCTTTTTTGAGAAGAAAATAATTTATTATATATGCAATAAACTATTATACAATATCTCCAAACACTAATGTGAAGATATGAGACTTTTGAATGCTTGGTTTGGTTTTTCTAGACAGGGTTTCTCTGTGTAGCCCTCATTGTTCTGGATTTCACTCTGTAGACCAGGCTGACCTTGGACTCAGAGATCTTCCAGCCTCTGCATCCCAAGTGCTTGTATTGAAGGTGTGTGACACCACTACCCAACTGGTTTGTGTGTGTGTGTGTGTGTGTGTGTGTGTGTGTGTGTGTGTGTGTGTGTGTGTGTGTTTGACAGGGTCTCATATACATCAGGCTGTCTTGAACTCCCTACGTAGCTAAGGATGACCTTATACTTCTAACCCCCTGCCTCCACCTCCTGAGGGCTGAGGTTACAGTATGCACCACTATGCTGATTTATGAGGAGCTGGGGATCAAACCACGGCTGGGCAGGCTTTCTACCAACTGCGGTACATCCGGGCCATCGTCTTCTCTTCTCTTCATTCCCATATCTGTTCTCATTCCCATTCGTTTTCTTTCCCTTTTCTTTCTTTGCACGCTGTGAGGCATGGAATTCAGGTTCTCCCACATTTGAGGTGAATGCTCTCTACCGCCGAACTCCATTTCTAGCTCAGAAATCCTCTATTCTATGTGTGCCCTCCGGCCAACCCCACTGTCTTGGGAACCACTTGGGCAAAGGCTGGAGTCCAGGTCCCACCCTTGTTGCCTCTTCCAACCCCCTCCACTGATAGCATCTCACCAAGCGCGTCTCTCTTGTAGGACTTTGACAGCAACAGCCGTAGTATGTGTTTACACTGGTTTCATGAGAGACCAGCTCTGTGGACCATCCCCAAAGGCATGTGATACAGTGGAGCTGGAAAATCCATCCCCCAACGCCCCCAGCATACCTCATGCCCCCTTCACAGATTCAGAGCAGGTTCAAATCACACCACTGCCTTCTCCTGCAATGCTCCAGTCTCCACACACCACACAGGACCTCCTCCTCCAGAAAGTCTTCCCTGACTGCACGGTGCGCACAGATCTGGTGCATCATGGGCTGTGGCGTCTGCTCCTTGCTTCTTCCTTGGTGCAGAGCTGCCCTTCCACATGCAGATATCTTTCAGCTCATTTGATTGCTGGCCCCTGGGTGGCCAAAATATGCTGGCTGGATGTGATGAAAAGTCCCTCTGGGGATCGGCCAGACCCAATTAAGGTCTATGCTGGCTGCTTGCTTGCCAAATGACCTTGGAAAGCATTGCCTGTTTTCTCTGAGTCCGTTTCCGATGGAATGAAAACATTCTGTTATAGAGACTGCTAAATGGGCCTACTGTCTAGGTTTCTTTTCTTTTAGGGGTAGAATTGAACGAATTTTAACTGGAAGGGCTGCCCGGGGTAATGACTGAGATCCTCAACTCCCTGCCCCTTGCAGCCAAACATGGCCTTGTGGCTAAATTTGGCCAATTAGCTGTGAGTGGAAGTGAGGGGGTAGAAGAGTAACTTCTACTTCAGGGTTTAGAAGATGTGTGGATTCTTTTCTTTTTCCCTTTTTCCCTTTTCTCTTCTTCTGGCTAGGATGCTAGTGCAGGGGTAAGGTAGAAGCCAGGATGGCTGTCTTGTATTCAGAATGGAAGATGTTCTGAATGACTTCACAGCCACCCTATCAGCTCTAGACTGCCTATAGACTATTATAGTTTGAAGCTCTCTCTCTCTCTCTCTCTCTCTCTCTCTCTCTGTGTGTGTGTGTGTGTGTGTGTGTGTGTGTGTGTGTGTGAGAGAGAGAGAGAGAGAGAGAG